TGACCCGAGACATCCCAGAATGCTTAGCACTTGCTGGGCCCCCCCTGCAGTACTCTGAGCACTCCCTGGCTGGAGCAGAGGATCAAGGCTGTGTGGAGCTGTGTGTAACTTAGCACTTACCAAGGCCCTGAATGACTCACTCTGGGCCCTCAGAGAGAGGGACTGAGAGTTAGCTCTGACCCCAACTGACCTCTGTCTATCTCAGATACTTATCTGGCCCCCATTGGCTTAATATTTGGGTGCCTCACAATCTCTGATGGGTTTATCCAAGTGGGCAAGTCACTTAGTCTTTCTGGGCCCCACTTCCCCATTGGTAACCTGTGGATAATAATCTTTCCTTTGTCTGTATAGACAGTGACTTCTAAGAGGCAGGGACTGTCTCTCACTGTGTGTCTGTGCAGTGCCCAGCACAATGGGGCCCCGATCTCTGTCACTGTGGGTCTGTGCAGTACTTGCCTAATATACTAGTTGTCCCATATTTTTATTAATTTTAAATGATATTTTAAAGTTAAAATGCAATAGATTATTGAAGAGCTGAGTTTTCAATGCTATTTCCTTTGCTGTATACGCAGACATCAGACAGGAAATGCAGAGGATGTTTTGCAGCCAAAGGAGTTGGAGGATGTTCTGCAGTGCCTTAATTTAACACTCACCTTGGTCACAAAGTTCTTGAAACACCCAAAGAAAATATCATTCAGCCCCGTGATAACATCACTGCAGATTTTGGAATTGTTCTCTAGAACAGAAGATTTACTGCAAACCAAAAGGGTAAAATGAACATTTTAAGCGATTGATGAGGAATTTTCTCTAAATGTTCCAAGGTTTCTTTCAGGACGCTCATACCCTCATTAGCGGCAACGAACTTTGTTGTGCCAAAAATGTCCATTAGTAAAACCATGAATTGTCACCGAGGTGCCATATGTGACCTGGCAGAGAACCCGCGTAAACCTTCTCAAATAAAACTGCTCAGAGCAGGCTAATTGGAAGCATGGCAAACATGCCAGAAACCTCCGGAGCCTTGTCTACACCAGGGCTCCCGCTGGTGAACCAGTCGTAGCAATGGTGGAATCTTGTTATGCAATTTCCTAGTGTGCATTCAGTGGGCCAGGTCCTCCTCGGGTGTAAATTGCCACAGCTCCATTGATTCCAATGGAGCATTGCATGATTCATACCAGCTGTGGTATCATTGACTCCAGTGGAGCTGTTGCCAATTTACATCAGCTACTGACCAACCAGCTCTGCCAGCCTGTTCAACTAATCCCGCCACCATTTAACACAGTTGGATTTTTTTTAAAAGATATACTCTAGTTCAAACAGGAATTATTTTGGGGAAGTTCTCTGCCCTGTGTTTACAGGAGATCAGACCAGATCGTGACGATGGTCCCTTCTGACCTTTAAATCTATCAATCTATAACTCACACTTTGTTCACAATTTGGAGGGTTTGTTAGCACCCTTGAGGCCTTAGAATAATGACTTTATTTTTAATGAAGTTTAGATTCTGAAGCACAAGATGGCAACCCTAAAAAAAGTGTTTGCTCACTGAATCGCTGCAATTTGGTCCAATTTGTGTCTTGAGCGAAGTCTAAACTTAGCAGTTTAAAGCACTGTCACAGCAGCGCTTTAAAGGGACAGTGGGGTCGTGTGCAAGCGCTGGGAAGACAGCTCTCCCAGCGCTCTAGGTAAACCACCTCGCGCTCCCAGCACTTGGATCCTGTCTACACTGGTGCTTTACAGCACTGAAACTGGGGGGGCAGTGGTGGTGAGTTTTCACACTCTTGAGCAAGAAAGTTTCAGCGCAGTAGCTTACCAGTGTAGACAGGCCCTTGGTTTCAGTTATTTTCTCTTGTAGCTCCCAGAACTACTTAAATCTGTTGTTTCCCCAGACATCTGATAATAAGTTCTGCACAACTGAATTTTCCAATGACCTGATATTTAGGCTTCTGAATAGTATCAAGTCTTGAAATGCAGTCTTGAAATTGGTGACTTTCTTTTCAAGTGTTTGATTTAATGTCTATAAAGGAGATGAAAAGCTGAGTTTACCACTTCTGTAACTTGCTCCTTTTTTTATCTTCAAGGAGTTTCAGGACCTTAAGCAGACCCATGGGCCCAAGGAATTTATGAGTGTAGCAGAATCATGGATCCAGGAGTTATTTCCCAAACTGTCTGAACAGGAAAAATTCTTTTTTGATGATATTGACGTGAGTCCAGAAAAACCCAGTGAGACTGATTTTTTTTCATTCCTATTAAAAACAGTCAACTGATAGGTTTGTTCTGTTCCTAGAAATGGCAACAGCTCATTTCCACTGAGTTATTCTGTGATAAGTGGACCCGGGACTGGCGAAAACTTATTAAAACTTTGTTTGCGGAGTGCATAATAAAGGTGAGTTGACTGATTGAAAATCAGAAAGATGGTCTTTGCCTCAGAGAACTTAAATGGAGATACAGATAGATGGGGAAGATGAGACCTACAGACAGATGGGGAAGACAGCAGTGAGATTATTATTGGAAGAATAAGCAACAGTAGCAGCGTACCATGGGGGACCATCGCAGCATCACCTGTTTTTAAGGAGAGATTTAGAGGGAGGTAGAGTATGAGAGATGAGGGACAGAGTAGGGACCAGCTGTGAAGGTCCTTGAAAGTAGAGTTGGGGAACATTTTTGGACAAATTTTTTTTTTGCTGAAAAAAAGCAAATTTGGTGACATCAAAACAATTTTGCAAATTTGTGTTGATTTCACTCAATTGCTTTGGTTGGTTGAAAACAAAACAAAACCAAACAGAAAAAAAACAACATTTTTGTTTTGACATCTGTCCTCTGAAATGTTTCAGGTTTTTGATTTGAAATGTGACTTTTCATTTAGAAATTTCCTTTTTTAAAAAAATAGTTAAAAAATGCTTGAAATCAAAGTGAAATGTTTGATCCAAAACAGTTATTTTTCCTGATTTTTCTGGAATTGTCAGCAAACCAAAATAACCACACAGCATAGCATCAGTTGTGTTTAAGGAAATATTTAGAAGAAGAGCGATGAGAGGCAGGGTGAGTACCAGCAGTGCAGGTCCAGAAAAGTGAAGACAAGTACTCTGTGCTTGATATGGTGGAGCGGAGAAAATGCCACAGTGTCGGGTGTGATGTGATCAAAGTGATGAACCAGGACAATGATCTTTGTGGCAGGGTTTTGAACAGATTCAATGGAGAGTGGGGGGAAGATGGGATTTGTCCAGGCCAGAGAGGAGGAGGTTACAGCTGTATAGACATGAGATGTTGAGGGGCTAGATGAGAGGGTTAAGGGGTGACTTGATCAGTCTCTAAGCACCTACATGGGGAACAAATATTAAATAATGGAATCTTCAGTCTGACAGAGAAAGGTCTAATATAATCCAATGGCTGGAAGTTGAAGCTAGACAAATTCAGACTGGAAATGTGTAAAATGTTATCAGTGAGGGGAATAAACCATTGGAACAATTTACCAAGGGTTGTGGTGGATTCTCCATCACTGGCAATTTTAAAATCAAGTTTGGATTTTTTTTCTAAGAAATCTGCTCTAGTTCAAATATAATTAAATCAGGGAAGATCTTTCAGTGCTGGGGTCTCTGTTGTATTTCACTGAAGGTAATGTGCGTGTGCGCCATGCACCCAGAGTTTTTCAGTGTAGTGGCGTCTATCGGTCCATGCATGTGTCCTTACATTGCCTGGTGGTTTTGCCCAAGGTGATAAAGGATGGGGCGGACTGACTGTGTCTTTAGTTCCTTCTTACTGCCGCATGGTCTAAGTCACAGCTTCTGTTGGCCTCTCATCCTTGGTGAAGCATTTTCCAAATAAAATGGTTTTACTCTTTACTTAGTCAGGAATTTTAATGGTTTGTGTAGTAGTTTCGTGTTTCTGAGAGTTTCATAGAGTTAAGGGCCAGGGACACCATTTTGGCAGTTTCCAAACAAAAATACCTCCAACCGCTGCCCCATCCAGCACTCATGTCTGGGTACTGCATATAGGCAGGATCTTCCATGCTGTTCAGTAGTAATTTTCTTGTTTCTGAAAGTTCTGCAAGTCTCTGGACTTCCTGCCCTTGTTTGTTCGGCCTCAACGATTCCATTGTCTTCCTCGCACCCCTGCCTACCTAGGTACTGCTTGTTAATTACTTGAAGAAGAAGGGGAAGGTTATTTACCTGTAACTGGAGGTTCTTTGAGATGTGTGGTCCATGTCTGTATTCCAAACCCTTTGCTGCGGATCTGATAGGTCTGCAGTGAAGAAGGAATTGAAGACACTCGGTCCAGCCCACCCTTTATTGCCTCAGGCAAAACCGCAATGTAAGGGTGTATGCACAGACTGACGGATACTAGTACTTTGAAAAGCTCCAGCTCTGGGCACCCCTCAGTGGAATACAGATAGTGACAACACATCTTGAAGAATCTCCAGTTACAGGTAAGTAACGTCCCCTTCTCTGGCCTGTATTATACAGGAGGTCAGACTAGATGATCTCAGTGGTCCTTCTGGCCTTGGAATCTATGACCTGATTCCTCATGGATTTGCAACCTGTGCAAAGGGAAAGTAAATTGCCACCATCAGGGGCATGATCAGGTGTTATTTCATCCCCACTTGACATTGGAGCGAACGATGTCCCACAGTACCAGGAAAGGAGAGAATCAGGCCCATAATATTTAAGGGGCTGATTCACCACCATGTTACTCCAGCCCTAGGCACTGAAATAGTGACAGGCAGCTCCTCAGCTGGTATACGTTGGCGTGACTCCAGTGTGGCCCTGCTGATTTACACCAGCTGAGGATCTAACGTCAGGGGATGGATCACTTGATAATTGCCCTGATCTGTTCGTTCCCTTTGAAGCACCTGGCATTGGCCACTCCGCCAGGAGTACAATGGTTCATCTCGCCCAGTATCCTGGGTTAGATG